CTAAGCTTCGCCGAGACTGCTGGGGAATGGAAGCAATATGACGACCAAATTGCGGGTTGCTCAGACCTCAAAGCACAATATCCGTATGGAGCCAAAGCAGTCACAAGCAAATGGCAAATATAGATCAAGGACCCTCATCTCCTGGCAATCGAATGACCTCCTAAGACGCAATCAGATGAAATGGACGAGCAGGGCGCGGCGGGTAATCCCCAAAGAAGCCCTGCAATTATTTCCACAGACACAAACCGTTTACTTTGGTGGGCATTTCTCGGCATCCCCCATCTCTTTGTTCAGACTAGTACGCGGGCAAACGGGACCTTGCTTGACTGGTGTAACGGCTTTTTTGATTAAGAACAGAAGGAAGAGAGCGAGATGGAGGGGGGTTCAAAATAAGATCATAACGGCCACACTACTCTTGGAAGGGAGATGGGAGCCAGCCACGGTTCGGTTTCGAAATCCTCCTCTCCAAGTTGAGCGCCTCATTAGTAGATCTAAGATGACCTCTCGGCACCAGCACTATCGCTGGTGCACACCACCAGGTTGCACGGACGTTGGCGATGGAATAGGGACGGACAGAGAAGGTGGTGGTGGTGTATTCGTTAAGTACGTAGTATGGGTCGCCGCCCAAGATAATCTCTCGTTTGAGCAAGGAGTGGAATCACCTCCCAATCAGCAAGGGTCTAGAGGGCGGCGCTGAACGGGAGGACGGGCGGGAAGACGGAGGTAATTAGGAAAATTGTCGTGATTCTTCAAGGATTCGTGCAGCCAGCCGGGGATGATATTGGTCCTCATGGACTGGGGGTATATGCAGACACTCGTGACTGGCAGATTGGATAATGAGGAAGGGAGAAGATTAAGATATATACCAATTGCAATGTGTGAGGGAAAAGAGACACAAAGAGATGAATGAAGCATTACTGGACCCTTTGTGGAGCAGAAAGCCCAAGTCCCCGATGGTTTGAAACAAAGATTCATATTTCCTAGGAGGCCAGGAACGCGCATTGGCCAACGAAGCCCCGTTGTGAAATTCTGGCCGGCGTGATGTCAGACAAAATACGTACTCTGTAGGCTGTACCTTCAAGTTCGGTCCTGATCTTACCTAAGCTGGGTAGCGTTGTGCCTCACAGTGGGATAATACCAGTTGATCCCTAGATATTATTACACGACGGCCCGGCGGCTCAGTCCGATCAAAAACGAGGGTTGTAACTTACCAAAGTAGTCTAGATCGTCGTAGCGGATGGACGACGATATATTCGTGCCTTACCTTGTGGCAGGCTGGAAACCCCAAGGAAGGTGAAAGGAAGGAGCGGACGGGGCGGGTGGCCGAAGTTTACCTCTACATTTCCGAAGTCCTTCTTCTGAACCGTGAGGCATGTACCGATATCCTAGGCTGCCGATTCGTCAGATGACAGCAAGATGTTCTGATACGCTGGAGAAAGCGCAAGATGACGGTCATTCCCGCGGTTAATTGAAGCGGCCCGTGGCTTGCCAAACCAAGTGAGACCTGGTCGCTGTGCAAATTATCGATGAGTGGGCGAGAATTCTTCGCCGGAAGGGTCTCACCCTCTGCACCCCAACTTTGGGCAAGTATTCGTCTGAGATGGTGTCGCATCGCCATGTAAGGCGACCCTCACCATGAGAGCATCTCATTTCCATCGTGGGTTGGTAGTTGAATTAGATGACCGTAAGGTTTCTCGAGGTATTAATGATCAGAGACAACGCATAGGTTGTACGAGTTCTCGTTGGCATACCCCTGCTGGACGATGCGGATGAAAAGAGGCTGTACGGAAGACTGAGTATGGTAGGTACTACCTTGACTGGAGTACCTATTTCTCTACCTTACCTGCCGACATCATCACGGAAGGCTGTACGTACCTACATTACAAAGGTGTCAATGAATTGGAAGCCACGATTAAGGAACTTCCTCTATTCGAACTGATGGCTTCATCTGACTTTTTCCATCTCCATCATGACCTTTATTCCCGCTTCCTACTTTTTGGGTGCCAATGTCATGTCAGACCAGTACGACAAAATCTCCGTCCATACGGTCGCAATCACTGGGACATTCCCGACGCAACAAGAAAGCATCTCCCTGCCGGCGCGAAATAACGTCAGTTCAAACAAAACAACCCAAGGCTCAAGCACCTCAGAAAAGAAGCTTGGGCAAAAAAAGAAAGCAAACGCCATCATCTAGTCTCTCCTTTTCCTCGCCTTTCGACTTTCGACTCCAATTTGCTCCTGCCTGCCCTCCACCTCTGCCCCGTCCCTCCCTTCCGGCCCTTTCCCCTCCCCCCTCCTTCTCAATTTCGAGTCTCCTCGTTTGATGTCTACCTTCCTCGAAGACGTAGGCGCCAGGGGATGCCGAGCCGCCGGCCACCACGGACCAAGGCATCGCAGACAGCAACAACCCTCACATCATCTTCCATCAAACCTGGCATCGAAGCGGGCAGGCATTTCCCTCGATATTACAGTCCAGCATTGCATGCTCACCTAACCCTATGCGCTTCTATCTATACTGTCACATACATACAACGCGCTATCTACAGAATAAACATCATTCTGCGCCAGCCTGATATGCATTAATCAGTGTATGCATTACTTACGTCAGTCAGCCCACACGAGAGCTTTTTCGTAAGCAATGGCAAAGCAAGTAACTTTTCTGAATTTGAGCTTCCAAGACTGCCAGAACGGGAGATGCAGGCAACGTCGCTCGCCCAGCTTCCGAGTTCCTGTTCTGCCACACCAACTTGCCGGGTCAGACAGCATCTATGTACGGAACTGGATTTGCAGCAATGCAATGCATACCTGGCCGTTCCATACCGAGACGACCTGTCGACTCTGTTCCTCTAGTTTCTCTTGCTCCAGGTTTAGATTCAAGACCCTTGGTGCTTCAGCTTTCTCTCCTCCCTCTCCCCACTGACCTGACCAGTGTCCGCAACGGCGACCCCAATCCCTGACCCCCGAATACCCTGGCTTCTCCCTACCGCATCGCATGCCCGCACTACTTTTGCAACTTAGCTGCCCGTTAGGCTAGAGCCGCCGTGCGATCGGCGAGTCCCTGTTGACCACTGACCAGAGACATTCCTCGCGCACCTGAGATTGACCAAGGGTCGACCGTCAGGTCCATGGCTCCAAATAAGACAAGCACACAAGCAAGCACAGTCGGGTCGACAGAATGGGGCATGGGCGCGGGCTGGAGACGCACAGCACCGACGTTGACCTAAAGCAGCCCCCAACTTCAAGGCACGGTGGGACTTCAGCTATGTGAGGGCCTCAGGAAGCGTAGCAAGCAACCAGCAAGCTACCTTGCCTCGCGGGTGTTGCTGGTGGTAGTTGCCGTAGCTCTGCTCTCGAGCTCTCTGTTGGTTGCATGGTCCCGGTTGCTGTTACTCCTCAACTGGAGCCTGCTGTGCTTCTTCCCGAAAGCAATCAGTTTGAACCACAGACGCGGCCCAGGGGCCTGCGCCGGTGTCTCTGCCCCGGCTCTCTCTCCTACCCTCCCAAACACGCCAGCGATTCGACGTCGAGCCTTTGAGGGGAACACGCAGATGATGGTTAGGTAAGTGAAGGTCAGTCAACCTGTCTATCCGTACCTTGGCTGTCTGCATTATCATTTTTAGCCCATCAGCAGGGCGAGGAAAGCTCAGACTCGGGGTTTTTGTTGCCAAAATACTTTGCATTCTATTCTGGGGTACGAGGTGTTGTGCGATGCACATCTGCCACAACTACGAACACGCCCCCCTTAGTTGCTTTTATAGTAGACACCATTCTCCCACTTCCTCTCCTTGGTATAGGGACCTGCAAGTGCGAGTCCCCTCACCTCTGTGTTCAAAGGCAGCTGTTCCGCCGCTGGTGGAGTAAGCTCGTCTCGCGTAGCTTTGCCCGAGGTAGCCTTGCTCAGACAGCATAGGTACGGATACAGATACAGGGACACTGGAAGTGTCCCGGCGACGATGATGACGATGAGGGGCACACGGCATGGCATGTGGTCAACAGTGTATCTTGTCGTCATACACTGTAGGCCAAATGGCGTTGATTGCTTGGTGTCACCTGTTCAATTGCGATTGTTGGTTGGGCCGCTGGATGTGCTACTAACAGCCCAGCCCCTTCGCTGGATCGGCCATGTCGGGACATAAGCTCGCAGAGATGACCATTGGTGATACGTCTGGAAAGAAGAAATAAGAAAAGAAGCTGGTAGCAGGCGCCTAAAGACGACCAGCCTGTCTCCGTCACAGTCCCAATCTACGGTTGTATGCGTAGGAGTCAGCCTGGAACCAAAGCAAGTCCCGAGATGAGGTCATTTCGAAGCACGGGTCTGAACAACTACCTTGCGCTACAACATGAGAGGGAACATGCAGCTGGATCAAAAGTACAGGGCAGGGCAGGTTTCTTCTTTCGACTGCAGCGCATCTCCAGCACCTTTAAGCACGCATCACAAGTTTGAAGTTGGCCAGTCCTGAGTCGGCTGCCTGTCGCGGCCAATCAGGGCGGGAAGCGCGAGCGCTGGCAAGTCGAGTCGTCTTTCCCTTTTCAGAGTCCGGCCGTATGCGCTTTCAGTTCTTCAGAAAGAATACGAATCACTTTTCTAAGCTTTCATCCTTCTCGAGATGGTAGGGCACAATGACACCAAGACCTTGGAAAGCTAATCAATCACCTCAAGGCTCGGAGGCTCAGTACGAATGGACCGCGATGCTCCAGTTAGGGAGCTTAATGTACGTTTGGAGACAGATGGCACACTGTGTTTTCTAATTTGGAGTCTTTCGCAGACAACCATCTGAAGTCTCAAAGCAAGGCTTCGTGCCTTGGTCAAGGTAAAAGTGTGTGCCCCTCCCATCCAGTCCTGCAGCCAGGGCTCTGTCATCTCAAAGCGTAACTATGTACTTCGTACCTTAGGTAAGTAAGGCGGGTTGGGGCATCTTGCACCTGCCCGGGCAATGAAATGGAAGGCACCGAGAGGACCAAAAAAGTACGTACTTGACGCTGCCGGATGAGACCCCACCTCACAGGCTTTTGCTCCACCTTTTCCCACACCACCACACCACACGGCCGCGGCCACACGGCCACACGGCCCCCAGGCTAAGGTAGCCCGTCCGCCAATTCATCCTCCGATACTTTCGTACCCACCAGCTGCCACGCCCATTTTGCGGCCCTGCTACGCCTGCCCACTTGACTTGACCTCTTCCAGCCGGTCCCTCTCGTGCCTTCTCCCACTTCAATCTGAACAAACCCCGCTTTTATTCTTCCAAGCACCCGAACCAAAACAGAGTGAGAAACACGCGAAGCAGGAGACCAGAACAAGCAAAATGGAACCTCCAACTCCACCCGCTACGAGTGTTGTTCCATTCAGTGTACGCAGTAAGGTACTCTCTAATAAGGATACTTGGTCAATTGTTCTGCTTCCTGGATCCTGTCGGGTGATGTCTCTTGCAGTCAGTCTTGCAGCCCGTGAAGAAAGCAAGTCACTGACATACCACTCCATTGGACTGCATTGAATCTGTCGAGTCCTTCTTTGCGCGCTCTGTGATTCTGTACCGTGCAACCTGCGTCCCACCAAGCCCAGTCCAGCCCAGTCTTGTCTCGTCTTATCCCCCGCTGCATGTACACTCCGGGCAGTCTACTGCGCACACTACGGATACATGATACATTCCCTAGGCAAGTTGGTTCCCAGCAAATTCAACCAGCATCGGCAGCACCAAGGTAATCAGCGAGAGTAGTCCCATTCTTGCCCTAGTCCGACGGCCTGCGCTCCCATCCACCTTGGTGATTGCTCACTCCACTAGGAGCTATTCGCTACCCAGAACCTAAGATTCTCATATCCGTACCCATACGTTATTTTTTTTTCTTTTCCACAGAGTTGTTGTCGTGCTGGCGGCTTTGCTGGCGGTTTGCCCCCAGTTGCCAGCTTTTCTCGAATCTTGCCAGCCTCCGGGTCCCAGTAAAACAATCCCCCGTCGCTCCGTCGTCCACTTCACTCCTCTCGCTCCGCAACCCACCTCACCTCACCTCATACGGTTCCAAGAATCCACTTCTTGCGTCTCCATCCAGCCAGTGACAGTCAGCGTGTCCCGGTCCCCATCAAGCACAGAAGTTGCTGCGAGCCTGCGACCCAGCGCCTACTTTTATACAGAACCTCAGGTCAGTGGACCAGTGGACAGTACCTTGGGTGCCCGGTCGCCATCTTAAGTACCCAGGTACCTAGGTAAGTACCTACCGTCCCAAATTCCGTACGGTCTACCTATACCTACCTTAAGGCTCCATACCTTATGCTTGGATCGATTACCGCCGCTGCTTGCTAATTAAGACCAAGACCAAGGCTAGGTAAACCGTTCCCCTCTGTCTTGCACGCCTTCCTGGTTCACTCCCCGACTCGAAAAGTCTCGAGACACGGCTGTCACTGCGACTGTACTTGTAGTTTTGCTGCCATCTACACAGTTCTCGCTGGTACTACTGGCCCCTCCACACACCTCAGTATACCTTGCCCACCAAAGCCTTATCACCTCCAGCTTGAGGACCGTAGACTCTTAAGAGACAGAGAGTTGGTAGGCAGACAGACCACCACCACCACTACCACACAGCCGTCGTCGCCGCCGCCGCGTGCGTACCTCTCCCGCCGTCCACTCCACGTCTCGAGCACAAGTCCAAGGGGAGACAGCATCGCATTGTGCCCGTACCGAGTTTTTTCCTCCTCACACACCCTCTATTCATACCCTCTTTTTTCCCTTCCTTTCCCTTTCTTCGACGTTTTAGACTTTTTTGGGTGTATCATGGATAGCAGCCAGAGCACGACTATTTCCAACGGCACCTCCCAACGTCGCAGGCTCACCAAGAAGCCGCCCTCGTCCTACCAGCAACACACCCGTTCCTCGAGCGGTCTCGATGGTGGCATCGACGCCCTCTCTCTCCAGAGCAAACGCAGCTCTACGTCGCTGAAGCGCGCTCCTTCCGCTCCACCAGCCCGGACGACCCCCTCAAACGCGCCAGCAGCTGCTTATTCCTCTGCTTCTGCTTCGGCATCTGCCTCTGCCTCTGCTTCTGGCTCGGCTCAGAGTTCTGGTATTCCTCTACCCGGCGTTGCTTCTTCTGCCGCTTCCAACAGCTCTTCGCCCCGTCACCTTCCATCAAGTCAGACGCACCTTCCCAATCCTTCCCCCATTCTGCCTCAGGGCCAGTTCGCCGCCGTCGCTGGATCTGCTGCTCCTTCCCCAACTGCCTACCACCACCCCCAGCTCCACGCCCAGGCCCAGACCTCCTCCTCCACCTTCCACGCTTCTTCTGCTGCCGCTGGCGCTTCTGCTGCTGCTGCTCACGGCCACGCCCAAACCCACGCCCACGCCTTTTCTCCTCACCACCATCAGCTGCACTTCAATCACCAAAACAATTTCTACCAAAACAACAACACCAACAACAGTCCTGCAGGTAACGGTTTCGCCGTCGGCATCGCCCACAGCACCGATCGCCCGCTCGATCCCGCCGCTCCCTCGCCTTTGTCGTCACAACCCCACGACGAATTCATCGGCGCTCCCTTTGACGGTGCTGCGGTCCTGAACCGCATCGAGCAGACCAAGTCGCCTGTCGCCGGTCAGCATCCTCACTTCAACACCCCCAACTACCACCGACACAACGCTCCCGCCCCGCTCATCAAGTCAGCGACCGATTCGCGCATCAAGGGCCCCGCCCTGAGACAGTCCCAGAGCTTCACGAACGATTCCTCCATGATGAACGAAAAATCACAAGGCGGACGGGTGACGGACAACTCAATGATCAGCCCCAAGAGATATTCAGACGAGGCAAAGGAGCCCCGCATGGGCGTCCTGCGCAAGAAGTCGGGCTTCTCTGGCTTCATGAACAGCCTCGTCGGCACCCCAAAGAAGCCAGTCATTTCTGCGCCTGAGAACCCCGTCCATGTCACCCACGTTGGCTACGACAGCTCTACTGGCCAGTTCACCGTCAGTCTGGCCCCTCCATTTCCCCCTCCAGCTCCGTGTTTGGCTCTCTTGTGTAGCAGTCGAGTCTCTACTCGTTCTCTGTTTTCGTACTTCCTCTTTGTCCTCGTGTGCTTGGTGTAGCTGACGATTTTCTACGATACAGGGTCTCCCCAAAGAATGGCAGAGATTAATCAACGAGAGTGGAATTCCCGAGAAGGAACGTAGGGAGAACCCCCAGACCATGGTTGACATCATCACATTTTACAAGGAAACGACCGAGAAGCCAGCCGAGGATCAAGTTTTGGAGAAATTCCACGATGCTAGAGCGCCTGACTACCGTCAGTATGCAAACGCGAACTCGCCGTCGGGTGCCATGTCGCCGGGCATGTATCCGCCAACCACTTATATGGGTATGTCACCAATGATCAGTCCACCTGCGAGCCCTAGGTTTCCAACTGTCAATCATGAAGGATCTTTCGAAAACCCCCGCCAGCCGCCGCCCGTCCCTGGAGTTTCGGGAGGTAAAGGCTCCGGCAAGGACATCAACCTGATGCCCAGCCGCCCGGCCCCGAAGCCCCCCGTCAGCATGCCCTCGTCGATGAGGTCCGCTCCCTCCAACTATCCCGGCAAGGACTCCGGCATTGGAATGTCTCAGCCCGCCGAGGACCTGCCCCCGGTCGCCTATCAGCCGCCCAAGGAGAGCAACGTTCCCATGCTACCCGAAGAGCATCGTGGAGAGCACCGATCCCGATCCCGATCCAACTCGCGTGCTGGCGCCCCCGCCGGTTACGTGCCCCCCACGCCTAACCCGCAGACAGCCCAGGCGAACGTTTACCAGCAGCAACTCATGCAGCAGCAGCAAGAGCAGGCCCTAGCTCAGGCCCAAGCGGCCATGTCTGGCCAGATCAGCCGTGCCCCGAGCAAGAGACAGCCCCCCCAGCAGCCGACACCGCCCCAGTCGCAGCACCAGTACGCTCAGGGTCCCACGGCAAACGGCGGTCCCGGCCAGCGACAGCAAGTTGGTGTACCTGGCGCACCCGGTTCCAGACCCAGACACCGACCCCGCCAGAGCACCGGTATCGATGTCGTCGCTGCACTGAAGCGCATCTGCTCCGACGGCGATCCTCGCGAGGTCTATAAGAATTTTAATAAGATTGGCCAAGGCGCGTCAGGCGGTGTCTACACTGGCTACGAGCGAGGAACCAACCGTCTGGTCGCTATCAAGCAGATGAACCTCGAACAGCAACCCAAGAAGGATCTCATTATCAACGAAATCCTGGTCATGAAGGACAGCTCACATCCCAATATTGTCAACTTCATTGACAGCTTTCTCTGCGGAGGTGAGCTCTGGGTTGTGATGGAGTTCATGGAGGGCGGCAGCCTTACTGATGTTGTCACCTTCAACATCATGACCGAGGGCCAAATTGCCTCCGTTTGCAGAGAAACACTTAAGGGCTTGCAGCACCTGCACTCGAAGGGAGTCATCCACCGCGATATCAAGTCTGACAACATTCTCTTGTCAATGGAAGGCAACATCAAGCTGAGTAAGTCTTGAGCGGAAATTCGACATCATGGCAAAACTAACACCAAATAGCCGATTTCGGTTTCTGCGCAACAATTAACGAGGCCCAAAATAAGCGCACCACTATGGTTGGCACGCCTTACTGGATGGCCCCTGAAGTTGTGACGCGCAAGGAGTACGGGCGCAAGGTGGACATCTGGTCTCTGGGCATTATGGCCATTGAGATGATTGAGGGAGAGCCTCCATACCTGACCGAATCGCCTCTTAGAGCGCTGTGGTTGATCGCTACCAACGGCACACCCCACATCAAGGAGGAGTCCAACCTGTCAGCAGTCTTCCGGGACTTCCTGTACTTTGCCCTCAAAGTCGACCCTGAGAAGAGAGCCAGCGCGCATGACCTCCTTAGAGTGAGTTCAGTCGAGATCCCAGCGGTATAGTCTGATACTGACTTTTTTCTTCTTCTTTCCAGCACGAGTTCATGAAGGGCTGCGTTGACCTTTCTCAATTATCGCCATTGGTGCGTGCCGCAAGAGAAGCTCGGCTTGCCGAGAAGGCTAGAAAGGGACAGTAGGACTCCCCTGGCCATTCACCGAAGAACATCTTCAAGCGGTTGAAACATCGACATTAATGACGACCTTGACGACAACATACATCCAAAATGGGGCTGCCCCTTACTTGTGCATTAAGATACCCCAGGAAATACTGTTGTTCACGACACACGTAGCTTGAGGTCGCTTTCCACCTCCGCTCTGCACAACAACTTTACTCATCCTTTGGTCAACCCCTTTGGCTCTCGATATGCTCATGGACCCAGTGCGTGTCCGCGCCTTGGCTTAGCCACCTTTCGACCCCCAATCATAACTCTACTTGCTTTCAAGATACCACTTCAGGGCTCTGAACCATTTTTGGCTTGGACTTTCTGACATTTCTTCTTCTCGACGACTTGCACACGCAGCATCATTCAGCATGTTGGCGACCGAGCAATGTCTCTTTCTGTGACGGCTTTTCTCTCTTCGATTTACATAGAGGCGACACGATTTTGAACTCGGCAACTCGCCTCAAAGTCAGGCTTTGGTTGCGTATGCGCAACTCTGTCTTCCCATTGGATCAAGACATCCGCTTTGGACCAATCATGTTACCAAAGTCTAGTG